TGAGTGGCCATGATAAAACCAGTCGAGAATCTTGGTAAGTATAGATGCTATATGATAAAATTCCATATGTAGTAATCCAGCTTCCCCCTCCATCTTCCTCATTACCAAAATATCATGTCGAATTCTAACTGAAGTATTTGACCAGATATATCGAAGTAAGCTAGATCACAAGGAACGAAAAGAACATCCATGGAAGGGAGATGGGAAGTGTTTGGTATAGATACAGAAAACGAGGGAGAACATCCATCTTAAAAATTGCCATTCTCCCAAACCATGAATGTTTTCCCTTAGTTCTAAACGGCAACTAATTATGGGATTTAATAAGGGTAAGTAATTTAATTCATATATTAATATTATATTTATTATTAATATATGAATTAAATTGCCACCACCATGCTTCATAGTGGGGATGGTATTCTTGTCCCTACAGGCCTTGAAGATCCCTCTCCAAACATAGCGCTTATGGTTGTGACCATAAAGCTCTTATTTTGGTCTTGTCACTCCAGATTACAGTGTGCCAGAAGCTGTGAGGCGTATCAAGGTGTTGTCAGGCATATTGTATTCAAGATATTTTTGTGGCATTGGCACAGTAAAGGCTTCTTTGTGGCAACTCAACAATGCAGCTCATTTTTGTTCACGTATTGTCATATTGTGCGCCTTGGAACAGCCATATTGTCTCTTACCATGGCAGCCTATTTTTCTCTTAAGGTTACCTGTGGGTTTTTCTTTGCGTACTGAACAGTTCTTCTGGCAGCTGTGACTGCAATCTTTGGTCTACCTGACCTGGGCTTGGTATCAAAAGATCCATGAACTTTCCACTTCTTAAGTAAATAGCTGAATACAGTAGTACTGACTGGCATATACAAGGCTTTGGGTATCTTAATATCCTTTTCCATCTTTATAAAGTTCCATTACCTTCTTATGCAGGTCTTTTGACAGTTCTTTTCTGCTCCCCATTGCTCAGTATCTAGCCTGCTCAGTAAAAACTAACAAACTCATTGACTATTTTATACACAGACACTTATTGCAATTTTCAAGCTGTTGATCTTGCCAGGCAGAGCTTCTCTTTCCTGTGTTAGGGCAATAGAATACACAAGCAGCTGTCCTGATGGACAATACTTGAGCACATTCAGCTTGTTAATGCACACAGTAAGGCGTTCACCCCATCAGCAGTACACACACCCTCTGTGACAGACAGTGCCTGGTGAAATGTTATGGACAATGAATGGGATAGCTTGCTTTAAGTGTGTGGAGCTTCTGTTGGTTCTCCTTCTTTACATTGGTTAGAAGTCAGACTATCAAGTGTAACATCAGCCACATGGAAAACCACACTAGATGGTGACAGAGCACAGGCACATGGGACATGACTTGGCCAGCTCACTGCTTCACTGCTTTAGAATGTACACCTGTGCCGGGGGCTTAAACAGGAAGTGAATGGCGGCAGAACAACACTGTTCATTGCACCGCAAGTTTAACCACTTCCCGTCCGGCCGTTGTATATAAACGGCCGGACGGTGGCACTGCAGGGTCGGGTGGCCGTCTATAAACGGCCTCCCCGCACCCTGCTTGTGCGCGCTCCCTGGGAGCGCGCAGCACCGCGATCCGGTGCCCGCTGTGTCCTCCGGACACAGTGAAACACCGATCGTCGGACGGGACCTCTGTACGAGGTCCCGATCACATGCAAAGTAGTAAGCAAGATGTCACTTGTGACATCATTGATTACTACATGTGAAATCTGTGAATGATCACAGAGGTCACATGGTACAAGGCTATTCACAAAAGCCTTGTACCATGTGACAAGCTGTGACCAATCACAGCTCACTCAGTACTTCTCAATGAGTGCAAGAATGCACACAGAGAGAAAGAGAAATGATTGCTTTTACATCCTATATGGGTGTAAAAGCAATCAGTGTAAAAAAAAAAAAAAAAAAAAAATCACCCCCCACAAGTAGTACAGTGTCACCATGGTGACACTGTACTGCTAGGGTGACTGTATGTAAAAAAAAAAAAATAAATAAAAAAAATAATATAAAAAAATAAAAATAAAAATGTAAAAAAAAATGTTTAAAAATTATAATTTTTGCTTATAAACTAATTTGTTTTTTTACTAAAAAGATAACGGAATAAATTTTGGCTAAGATTTATGATGAAATATTATTTATTTGCAAAATTTTATTAAAAAAAAACACTTTTTTTCAAAATTTTTGGACATTTCATTTACATAGCAAAAAAAATACAAATCCCAGTGGTGAATAAATACCACCAAAATAAAGCTTTATCTGTCTCAAAAAAATGGTAAAAAATTCATTTGGGTACAGTGTTGCATGACCGCGCAATTTTCATTCAAAGTGTGATAGCGCTAAAAGCTGAAAATTGGCCTGGACAGGAAGGGGGTAAAAGTGTCCGGACAGGAAGTGGTTAAAAGAAAAATGTGTTTAAACGGTCGAGCCAAAATGTTTTTCTCTTTCTAGTTTTTTGATAAAGCAGGGAAACAATTAAAACTCTTTAAGCAACACAAGAATGTGTTATAGAGATCTACCCCTACTTCCATTCCTGCTAATAATGATTTCACCAGACAGGAAGAAATGGAAAATCTGTTAAAGGATATAGACAGCAATGAATATCTGACAGGGGTTCTAGCCGTACTCTTCCCTATTAAAAGGAATCATTTTTATTTCTGTCTCTGTTGCTGACATCACCAAAGGGCAACACATAACATTCAGTGAATGTAATACTACAGAACATGATCAAACTGCATACAGGCCACAAGAGACGGTCTGAGACAGCAGAAACACCACAATAGATAGGGGGCGCAGGCACGCAACGAGCGATGGTCAAGGGCCACAATAGATGATAAGGAGCCGCAGGCATGCCACGGGTGACGGTCAGGGGCCACAATAGACGATAGGGGGCCGCAGGCACGCTACGAGCGATGGTCAAGGGCCACAATAGATGATAGGGGGCCGCAGGCACGCCACAATAGATGATAGGGGGCCGCTGGGACGCCACAGGCGACGTCCAGGGGCCGCAGGCACGCCATGGGTGACTGTCAGGGGCCGCAGGCACGCCACGGGCGATGGTCAGGGGCCACAATAGATGATAGTGGGCCGCAGGCATGCCACGGGCGACGGCCAGGGGCCACAATAGATGATAGTGGGCCGCAGGCATGCCACGGGCGACAGCCAGGGGCCACAATAGATGATAGGGGGCCGCAGGCATGCCACGGGTGACGGTCAGGGGCCACAATAGACGATAGGGGGCCGCAGGCACGCTACGAGCGCGATGGTCAAGGGCCACAATAGATGATAGGGGGCCGCAGGCACGCCACAATAGATGATAGGGGGCCGCTGGGACGCCACAGGCGACGTCCAGGGGCCGCAGGCACGCCATGGGTGACTGTCAGGGGCCGCAGGCACGCCACGGGCGATGGTCAGGGGCCACAATAGATGATAGTGGGCCGCAGGCATGCCACGGGCGACGGCCAGGGGCCACAATAGATGATAGTGGGCCGCAGGCATGCCACGGGCCACGGTCAGGGGCAGCAGCCACGCCACGGTCAGGGGCAGCAGCCACGCCACGGTCAGGGGCCGCAGCCACGCCACGGTCAGGGGCCGCAGCCACGCCACGGTCAGGGGCCGCAGCCACGCCACGGTCAGGGGCCGCAGCCACGCCACGGTCAGGGGCCGCAGCCACGCCACGGTCAGGGGCCGCAGCCACGCCACGGTCAGGGGCTGCAGGCACGCCACGGGCGACGATCAGGGGCCACAATAGATGATAGTGGGCCGCAGGCATGCCACGGGCGACGGCCAGGGGCCACAATAGATGATAGTGGGCCGCAGGCATGCCACGGGCGACAGCCAGGGGCCACAATAGATGATAGGGGGCCGCAGGCATGCCACGGGCCACGGTCAGGGGCAGCAGCCACGCCACGGTCAGGGGCAGCAGCCACGCCACGGTCAGGGGCCGCAGCCACGCCACGGTCAGGGGCCGCAGCCACGCCACGGTCAGGGGCCGCAGCCACGCCACGGTCAGGGGCCGCAGCACGCCACGGTCAGGGGCCGCAGCCACGCCACGGTCAGGGGCCGCAGCCACGCCACGGTCAGGGGCCGCAGGCACGCCACGGGCGACGATCAGGGGCCACAATAGATGATAGTGGGCCGCAGGCATGCCACGGGCGACGGCCAGGGGCCACAATAGATGATAGTGGGCCGCAGGCATGCCACGGGCGACAGCCAGGGGCCACAATCGATGATAGGGGGCCGCAGGCATGCCACGGGCCACGGTCAGGGGCAGAAGGCACGCCACGGGCCACGGTCAGGGGCAGAAGGCACGCCACGGTCAGGGGCAGAAGGCACGCCACGGTCAGGGGCAGCAGGCACGCCACGGTCAGGGGCAGCAGCAGGCACGCCACGGTCAGGGGCAGCAGGCACGCCACGGTCAGGGGCAGCAGGCACGCCACGGTCAGGGGCAGCAGGCACGCCACGGTCAGGGGCAGCAGGCACGCCACGGGCCACGGTCAGGGGCAGCAGGCACGCCACGGGCCACGGTCAGGGGCCCCAATAGATGATAGAGGGCCGCAGGCACACCACGAGCGATCGTCAGGGGCCACAATAGATGATAGTGGGTTGCAGGGACGCCACGGGCGACGGTCCAGGGTCACTGGAACGCTAAGGGCGCCGGTCCGGGGCCGCCACGGGCGACGGTCCAGGGACGCCACGGGCGACAGTCGGGGGCCGCAGGGACGCCACGGGAGACAGTCGGGGGCCACAGGGACGCCACGGTCGGGGGCCGCAGGGACGACGGTCGTCGGGGCCGCAGGGATGACACAAGAGATGGTCAGAGACTGGGAATGGGTGATATTGGAAGCATGCATGCTAATAGGAGTGACAGCCTGACCTCCAAGCAGAGCCTGTGATGATCAGTCAGTGAGGTCAGGGGATCACTGCTGCACAATGAAGGTCATTCAGAGCCCACACACTCCCTGCCATTTGTCACCTCACCTCCTCCTCGCCCCGTGCTTCCTCTCCCCCATACAGCCAGCAGGGAGCAGCGGGACAGCCCGCACACTGTACAACACCCCCCGGCACCCGATCACTACCGCAGCCGCCATGATGATGTCTGGCGTAGGAAGCGGAAACCGTATACACAGCACTAAACATCCGGGTCATCAGGGGGGAGGAGAGTGAAAAGAGTTGCATTCGGCTGAGCTCATTGCACGCCTGTCCGAGGAACTTCCTGTCCCCTGGATATCATGACGACGTGTACACCTTGTATAGTCTTCCCTCCACTAATCCACATCACATACTGTACACACAATGCCTCCTGTCAGTTAAGTGATCTGCATGGACAGACTCTGGTTCTCACAATCATTCATTTTGAATAGAGTGGAAAGGGATTAGAAACCTTGTCAGGTTTATTGCTATCTGCTCCCCTGTTAGGAAGACCCCTCTTGTCCTGTTTACCATTAGAACCAAGAGTAAAGGTCAAAGAAAATTTTGGGTTGACACCAGAACAGTAATAGAAGGGCAATCTTCCAATGGGGACACTAGTTCCCTCACTTTGGAGGGATTTTGTCTCACTTCTTGTCTTGGCTATGGGACAGGAAGTGAAGGGAAATCTCCCCAAAGGGACACAGATTACAAATAAACACTGACAGGGTTATAACACTATCCAAAATAAAAGAAAAAGTTTGCCTTTAGTGATACTTTAATTCAGTTTTCGGTATGAAATAGTAAGAATCTCTGTTCGATTTCTGCTGTCCTTTCTGTACTACCTTGAGGAGATTTCCCCTAACATCCTGTCCAAGAGATATAACTGTGAGGAAGTCTCCCAATGTGAAATTCCTTTTAGCTGCTGCTGAAGCAGGTGTTCCTGCTATTTTATGTATTTATCACTGGTATTTTTACTTTACCTGCTCTCAAAGAGCTTGTAATCAAAGGTTCCTAGCTTACGTACTGTTATAAATTCTGTATGTAGCCCTACAAAACAGACAGTGCACAGCCCACATGTGTTTATCTGCTGCTCCACTGCAAACAGGAAACAGGAACTTTTTTATAGAGAAAAGAGCTTATCATAGATGCAGCTACAAACTTATAAACACTGCCATCTACTGGTTGAAGAATATATCTCTACTGAATACTGAAGTAGTTGTTGAAAAATACATGAACACTGTATGCCAACACACACAGATTGTAGGGCTGGTTTAGACAAGAGCCAATTAAAGTGGTAGTAAGCTCTTCTTTAATAAGTTTACCTACAGGCAAGCTTATAATAATAATAAATATATATATATATATATATATACATATATATTATATATATACACATATACATATATATAACATTCCTCCTAGATTGTAAGCTCTAAGGAGCAGGGTCCTCTGTTTCCTCTTGTACCAAATTGTATTGTAACTGTAATGTCACCTTCATTTTGTAAAGCGCTGCGCAAACTGTTGCCACTATATAAATCCTGTATAATGTCATATATATATGCATCTGTCAGTTGGGGCATCAGATTTCTTTACCTCCAGTTTTTGGGGCCCTGAAGAAGCTAATAATCGAAACACATCAACCCCTGGAGTACATAGATGCCACAAATACATGATGTTGTATTGTTTTGGGCTTACTAGCCAAATATTGCTTTTGTATGAAGTATTTGGAAGATGTGTTTCAGTAAATATGTTTTATACATTAATATGATGTTATCTGTTTTTTGTACCAGTAAAGTCTCATTGGTTTTTGTTCTTTTTTTTTATAATGCTGCTATTAATGATGGGGGGGACTCTAATACAGTTAGTGGATCTTGCATTTTTACTGCAAAATCTGTTTTAATGCATAAAAGGAAATGCAAATGCAACATTTTGTCTGTATGTTGTGCTGTACTGTGCCACAGGTGTGTTAACTACTATAAAAGTGCATTGGGATGCCATTCTGCATGAATGGCACTGCAACAGAACACCCATTGTATAATGTGCATTGCAATAACATGGTAAAACACATCCATATGAATGCTTTTCTCTCTATAGAAAATTGCTATATTGCTGTCTATTTCCTTTTTGAAGATCATCCTTCACTATCTGTTCTGGTGACATATTGCGTGTATAGAAAGTGCAGGGAAATCTCTCCACTAGATTCAAAATGCGCAGTAAAAATTAAGGCTGACAAATACCATAACAGGTTTGCGTCGCTCCTAGCCTGCAATATCAGTCTCCAGGTTTACATTTTGTATTCATGTGCTGGCAGAGTCAGAGCACATCACGCTTCAAGAGGCAATATAGCATACAAGTACTGACGCACGCTGTATTCAATTCCGGTGAGAAGTAAATGAAGACAGGCTTTACCTTAACTCTCCACCCATTGGTCATGCTCCTATGATGTGTATGTTTCACCCGCATTGGGCTTAATCATAAACCTCTACGACTAAACCCAATGTGGGTGAAACATGTCAGGGGGGTGTGACCAATGGATGGGGATTTGAGCTGAAACCCGTCTTTCATTTACTTCTCACTGGAGTAGAGTACAGTGTATGGCAGTACTTGTATGCTATATAAAAACTAATGGAGATCATACATGGGACTATTTTTTGTCCGAAAATCAAAAAAACGTTCGCTCGGTAATCTGATGGTGCCATCAATGATTTCGAAAATCGGACGACCAAGTCATAAAGTTCACCCCATGTAACAGGTGAAACTTCTGTTCCTTCCAGGTCATGGCTCATGCGCATATTCTTTTCAGAAAAACCATCGTACGATTTGACCATCATTGAATCGAAAATCGGTCATTTTTCACAAATTTTCCAACATGCCTGATCACCGAAAAGGGGAGGAACCACAAAAATCGGCCTGTGCCATTGACCCACTAACAGATCGAAAATCGGACAATTATTCTTAGGTCTGATTTTCAGATGAAAAATCGGGTGAATTTTGACTCATGTATTGTCGGCATAAGGCTAGCCATTGACGAATAGATTTCAGGCTGAATGAGAAAAGAAAACAACAGTTAACAGTTTGGATGGACAAATCTGCTCTGTCGGGTTGTTGTATTTTGGCAAACACAAGGGCTGTCTGTCAGCATACCCAAACAGTGCCTGCAGCTGATTGGCCAACAATTGAGTTATAGTCCTATGTTGAGCCAGTGGGGCCACCCACTGGTATATTTTCAGCTGATTCCTCTAAATCAGCTGAAATTCTAACAGTTTATGGCCAGCGGAATCCAAAGCAAATTTCAGTGTTTTTGGTTTGATTACATTACTGAATTAAATTTATTATTATTATATTATTTTTTTATGATTATTTATTAAATTATAATTTATGATTTTGTGTTTCAAATTTTAACATGCCCGGGATGTTTACTAGACTCCTGTTCGGACAGATTTCAGTGAGTTATTCCTAAAAATTACAGGCCTACAATAAAAAAAATACATATTTCCATGCAAAAAAATGTACTGCTTTGACCACAGAAATATGGACATAATCAGACCGCTAGAGAGGCTATGGCTCCATGCACACGGGGTGTTTTTATAGCTCTGGTAACGTTAGCTGTGTAAAGTTACGTTAAAAACGTGAGTTTTTCAACTTTTTTTAACATTTTTGCATTAGCGTTTAGTGGCGTTTTACTGCGTTTAGCGACGTTTTTCGTGCTTGCGTTTTTAGCGGGTTTGTGTAGGGAAATCAATTTTTTTGGGTCAAAAAAAGTCCAAAAACGCTGGTTTGCTGCTTTTTACCACTTTTTTCAGTGTCAGAGCATTTTTACAGCTAAAAACTTCTCTAGAAACCCACTAGTTCTGGGTTTTTTTCCAGCCAAAAAAACACCCCTGCCAAAAAACGTTGACTACAGTCTACGTGTGCATGAACACATAGGATAACATGCTGGGGAGTTTACTGGCTGTAGAAAAAACGTCAAAAGCCAAAAACAGCTGCTGTAAAAACATCCAGTGTGCATGAGGACTGACTGTGAATTCTGTTAGAATCTGTCTCAGTCATAGTGACTATTTGTAAAAGTGGTGATAAGAACTACCTGAATCTGGCACATTTGTCGGTACTGAAACTAGTGCAAGGCTTTTATATGAATTAGGCCGTGTTAAAGGGACCATACCGCCAGAAAAGTTACTGCTGTATTGAATTCCTTTGTCTGTGTGCTTCTTCCCTGTTTGTTCCCCGTCCAGGGGCGGACTGACCATTTGGCCCGGGGTCAGTAGGGGGCCCCATGAGATGCCCCTGGCACCTTTTTCATAGGCTTTTTTGAGTTTGGGCAAGGACACAGGGGCCCCATGATCCTCTATTGCCCAGGGGCCCCATGAGTTATCAGTCCGCCCTTGTCCCCATCCTTACTTATCCAGATCATAGGGCATCAGGAAAGAAACAAACACCACACATAGTAGGGCCACAAGGTGTCTTCCCATCTCTGTCACTGATTCATCCTCTCCAAGGGGTTGTTCACATGTGCAACAGCCTTTGCCTCCCATTTAAAAAATAAACTATGGTGGGTTGCTTTTCAGAGGCTGACATGTCACCTCCTTTCCTCCTGATTGATTCTGTAAATGCCACACCACCATGCTGCAATGGTATGCATTACAAACAGTTGCGACACAACCCTATAGACTTGCATTGGTCATGTTCGCACAGCAGTAACAGCCCCAGAATGCAACGTGCTGTTTGATTTTTGCCTCCTTGAGAGGCTGCATTCCCTGGTTCAGGCAGGTGGTTGTGGGGTGGTAAAACCACAGCTCAATTGTCTTGTTTTACCTACTCCTAGTCACAAGTGTGAATGAAGCTTTTCAGATTGAGTCATTTGGCTTTCGACTTGTGTTGGTGACTCCATTTGAGACACTTTGAATGTCATTCAGAATTCATGGATACACATATTTGACCTGCAGTTGTCCTCCTTCTGCCCTTCAATTGACCTGCTTCAAGTGGATTTAGCATTTCCTTACACTTGTATAGGATTGCAAACCCATTGAAGCGAACGAAAGCCTTTCAGAACACAGGCCCTAACTCAGCAATGGGCAAACTACGGCCCGCGGGCCGTATACGGCCCGGCGGACCTTTTAATCCGGCGCGCGGAGCGTGATACAGTCAGGATGGCTGACAGGATGTGTGTAGGCGGGGCAGCGTGACGAACGT